TCGTATGTGGAGGTGTTGAATTGTTGTTGATTTTTGTTGTGGTTTGTTGTGAAGTTGTTGTGGTCTAATCTTGAATCATCCATTCAGTGTTAGGAGGTAGTTCTAGGAGAATTCTTCCCATTCTTGATTATCCCACACTTAATGGAAAACCAATTTTAATATCTAGGGAATATGGATAATCTAGGTGAGTATTACCCTCTTAATGGGCATCCACCTTTGAGAATTCTCCACCCTAATGTGTTGCCACAACCCAATCAAGTGCAACAACCTCCAATAATGCCAATCCATCTTCAAGATCATGTAGTGAATCCCCCCAATCATCAATTATCTCTTCGGGATCACTACACTCCCAATGTATACAATGCACCAACATGCATCCGGTTGCCAAACTTTCGGGCAACCCATTATGAAATTAAGCCCGCAACCATCCAAATGTGCCCCATTTTCTATGGGGTAAACAGTGAAGAACCATATAAACATTTGGATGAGTTTTTAGAAGTTTGTTCAACCGTGAAAATCACGGACCTTCCGGAAGAAGTCTTAAAAATGAAGTTTTTCCCTTTCACTCTTCGGGAAAAGGCTAAATATTGGTTCAATAACTTGAGGGCAAATTCAATCACATCTTGGGCTCAACTACAATATGAATTCCTAAAAAAATTTTACCCCGCAAGTAGAACCGATGCTATGAGAGCTTCTATCCGTGAATTCTCCCAACATGAGGGAGAACCTTTACATGAAGCATGGGAGCGTTTGAACGATTTGCTACGGAAGTGTCCACATCACGACATTCCAAAGTGGCAGTTAGTTCGCTGCTTCTATGAAAGCTTATCCGATACCCAAAAAGATATGGTTGATGCTTCATGTGGAGGAGCCTATTTGGACAAAAATGAAGATGATGTGTGGCATCTTTTTGATCGCATGAGCGAAAATTCAATGCATCGTTCTTCATCGTCCCGATTGGGCCAAAACTTGAATGAAGGAGGGAAGAAAACCTCCAATCTTTCTCAAATAAATATTTCCATGGAAATTGCCGCTGAGGTCAAAATTCTTACTCAAAGGTTTGATAAATTCTTTTCGAGCCAAAACCCGGCAATTCAAACATCCAACTCTTTCCATTCTCAAAGTGTGATGTGCATGACTTGCTGTAGTTATACTCACAATACTTCCAATTGTCCTCTTGGACAAGTTTTTCCGAGTGAGTATCAAGAACAAGTCAATGCTGTTTTCATTCATTCGGGAAGTAATCCAAATTCTAACTCCTACAATTCTGGATGGAGTGATCCTAACTTTTCTTGGAGAAATCAAGGAGGAGGTATCATTCCTCCTATTCATAAAAATTCCCAAGAAAAGTATGTGCCTCCCCACCTCCGAAATGCAAATTCTCAAGCATACCACTCTCCATCTTATCCTCTTCCAAATGTGAATCAATTCTCTAATTCTCATTCTTCAAATCATCAATCTTATTCTCATCCACCTCAAGAGCCTCCTAGGAATCCCACTTTTGAGGATAAGGTTTTAGAAGCTTTGGGTGATCTTCAAAAGGAAAATCAAGTGTTTCATTCACATTCTCAATCAATTGCAAAACTTGAAGCCCAAATTGGGCAAATGGCTAAATCAATAAAAGAGAAAGGGCCTATTCAACCTGAGATTAACCGAAAGGCATACTCCATTTCCACCTTGAGGAGTGGGAGAAAAATTGATAATAAAGTTGAGAGACCTAGTGAAGTTAGTGTTCCGGTGCAACCAAGTGTTAGCACATTTACCATTCCCAATTCCATTCCTACTTCACTAGGGACAAATGGTCACATTAATGAGCAAATTCCATCATCATCATCTTCCTCCCATGTAGAGAAGTCTTATGAGCCCAAAGCTCCATTTCCACAAGCTTTAAACGCTACTCCATTTTCGAGGCAAGAAGGAAAAATCCATGACATGATGGAAGTTTTTAAACAAGTTAAAATCAACCTTCCTCTTCTTAATGCTATTCAACAAATTCCACCATATGCCAAGTTCTTGAAGGACTTATGTACTCAAAAGAGGAAGAACAAGGGACCAAGCCCAAAGAAAGTACTTCTCACGGAGCAAGTAAGCTCTATCATTAAGCTTAGCACCCCACCTAAGTTCAAAGACCCTGGCGCTCCAACCATCTCTTGTACCATAGGGAACCATGAGGTAAAAAGGGCACTTCTTGACTTAGGGGCTAGTGTTAACGTTATTCCTTACTCCATATATCTTCAATTAGGTTTGGGAAATCTTAAGCCAACTTCGGTAGTTATTCAACTCGCCGATAGGTCTACAAAACAACCAAGGGGAATTGTTGAGGACATCCTCATCAAAGTAGACAAATTCTATTTCCCGGTTGATTTTGTTGTGCTTGACACTGAGCCGATTCCCAATCCTACCACTTACATTCCCATCATTTTAGGAAGACCATTTCTTGCCACCGCTAATGCGACAATCAATTGTAGGTCCGGCATTATGGACATCTCTTTTGGCAATATGATGGTTAAGCTTAATGTGTTTAACACGAGCCAACATCCTATCAATGAAGGCGAGTGTTTCATGGTGAATATCTTGGATGAAATTGTTGAAGAAGTCATTCCTTCCATTCCTTCTGAAGATCCTCTTGAGGCATGCCTCTCTCACTTCAACATGGACGCATTTGACATTGAAAGCTCCATATATGAAGTGAATTCTCTAATGGATTCCGTAGCCATCTTAGACTTCCCGCCATGGAAAAACTCAAAAGAACCTCTCCCTTCAATCGCAAGTACTCTTTCTTATCAAGAAGAGGAAGAAGTGGTAAGTACGCCAATGGCCAATCCAATTTATGAGGACATTCCTTATAATATTGAGCATGAAGTCATTGAGGCGACCTTAGTGAAGGAGGAGAAAGTGATCAATGTGGAAGTTGACAAAAATGATGAAGAGATTGAGTTTCTTAATAATCTAACCGAGCCTTTGAAAGACATTACCTTGCCAAGTGCAAGGCCGCTCATTATGGACTTTATTTTCAAAACCGTGGATGAGAGGAAACAAATTGCATCTTACATCATTTCTTTTCAAGTCATTCTTTTGGGAGATGAATTTGTTGTTATGAGAAAGGATCCACTTGGGAAAATAGACAAACGGATTAACGAGGATGTCTCATATCCGGTTTTTGATTCTTTCGACTAGTGAGTCACCCCAACGTTTTTCTAGTGACATTAAACACTAGTTTTTCGTAGAGTTTCCCGACTTTACTTCTCCCTCATTTCTTTTTATTTTATTTCTTACATCTTCGTCTAAATAAAATTTTATTTTATTTTCTTCTTTTACTTTATTTTATTTTTTGTACAATTCTGCTTTCAGAAATTCAAAAAAAATAAAAATAAAAATAAAAATAAAATTGTAAATGAGTAATGTAGGTTGGTGTTTGATTTTATTTCTATTTTATTATTATTTTTATTATTTTTGTATATATTTCATGTTAGTTTTGATTTATTCAAAAATATAAAAAAAAAAAAAAAAAAAAAAAAAATTTAAAAAAGTATTAATTAGTATAGGTTGATAAGTGATTTTATTTCAATTTTATTTATTATTATTTTTATTTTATTTTTTATCTATTTTTCATTTTAGTGTATATATTCTTTTTAGCTTTATTTTGTTTTATTTTTTTGTTTATTTTATTTATTTATTTATTTTTATTTTTTAAAAAAAAAATTGAAAAATTAAAAAAAAAAAAAAAAAAGAAAGATCGATCCCAAAATGGGTAGGAGATCGATCCCATTTTCTTGGCAGAGCAACAAAAAAATAGGCCAAGTGGATTGATCCCCCGTCCAAAGGGATCGATCCCATTTTACTTATGTTTCTCCCTTCTCATTAAACAGTGAAGGAGACATTTTTTGCCTAAAATTATCGATCCCCCATCAAAGCAGATCGATCGCCCCTTAACTTTGTTGTGACCTACCTTCAATCTCCAAAATACATTCCTCTCTGTTCTCCCAGTTTCGAGTCGCCACTCTAAATTTCCTCCTGGCGTTCACGGTGTACAGGAACCCACAATCTTCCGCTGATCTCTTCTCCTCTTCCACGGTGTCGCGGCTGTTAAAAACGGCGCCATGGTTCTGAGTTCTTCTCCGCCGACGGTTTGAGTTCGCCGTTGGCTTCGCCTTTTATTTTCCGACGCGGCTGTTCGTTACTTTCCGGCGAGCATCTGGGTCATCTTTCTGAAAAATTAAAAAATAAAAAAATAAAAAATAAAAAAAACAGCAGCGGCGTTGCATCTGCTTTCTTTCCGGCGTCGCATCTGTTCATCTTCCAGCGCCATTTCCTGATTCTTGTTTAATTCGTCGGCGTCGCGGCTGTCCGTTTTCTTCCGGCCGTGCTTGAATCAGTACGATTCCGGATTGGTCCTCACCGGCGAGCTTGTGACTCGTCGTTTTCCCCAGCGATTCCGGCGGCTGGTTCATCAAACGGCGTCGCGGCTGGGTTCGTCGTCGATTACAGCTTCGCATCTGTTCGCAGTTCTCCAGCGATCTCGGCGTTGCATCTGTTCACATCTGTCTCGTTCTCCGGCGATCAAGGCTGTTTCGGCCTATATTTTTCCGGCGCCATGGGTCTGAGCTATTTTTCCGGCGTCGCAACTGGGTTCATTTTTCCGGCGTCGCGGGTTCGTTTCTCTCTGGCGATCTCTGCTTGGATTCGCCGGCGAACAAGGCTGCTTCTTCTCCGGCCACGATTTCCGGCGGTTGGTTCTTCCAACAGCGGTCGCGGCTGTTCATCTTCTCCGGCGAGCTTTTGGCTTCGCCGTTACAATTGATACATAAATAAAATAAAAAAAAAATTTTAAAAAATTAAAAAAAAAAGAAAAAGAAAAAGAAAAGAAAAAAATTAAAATAATAAAAAAAACTAAAAAAATAAAAAACTAAAAACATAACATAAAAATTTTAATAATTAAAAAGTATATATATATATATATATATATATATATATTTTGAATTGATTTATTAAAAAAAAAAATAGATAAAAAAAAAAAAATGTAGCATTGATGTTTAAAAAAAAAAAAAGGGCTAAGTAGAATTTGTAGTAGTGTTTTTAGTTATTTATTTCTTTATTTATTTTTGATAAAAATAAAAAAATATATTAAAATAAAATAAAATTTCAGTAACATTCCGTCTTGCTAGAGACGTTAAACTTAGCCCATTTTTATTTTATTTTATTTTGTTGGTTGTATATACATGTTCTTTTCCTTTGTAAAAAAAAAAAAAAAAAAAAACAAAAACAAAAAAAAATTTAATTGATTTATTTTAGTATATATTTATTTCTTTTTAGTTTAGTATATATTTTTTTTCTTTTTAGTTTAGAATATTTTTCTTTGTGTAAAAAAAGAAAAAAAAAAAAACACTGGGAGATCAATCCTATTCTTGAAATTAAAAAAAAAAAACATATCACAAAAATTTCAAAAATATGTATCCCCATTATGCCCTTCTGCTTAGTTATGCATGTTTTCATCTTTTACAAAGGGCTTGATATCATATCTCTTTACATCTTATTCTATATTGTTTTGGAATGTATGCTTTACTTATCCCATTTGATATTTGATGTGAGTTACTAGTGTGGCTTTTCTAGTAGGTTTTTGCATCCAAGTTTGGGGGAGACCTCTTTCGTCATGGATCATTGCCGGGCGTCATTAACTTTTGCCATCACGGTATACTCTTTCCATTTCTTTCATTGTTCTCATTGCACATTGAGGACAATGTGCAGTTTAAGTTTGGGGGTAAAGTAGCCTTGTTACATTCTACTTTAAGTTGAGCTTTAAATGCATGATTGAGATTTGAGATATATTTGGCAATGATTTTGAACTTTTGAAGTATAGTTCCTTTGAAAAGCAAGTTGTTAGGGTCTAATACTTCTTGTATGCTCTAGGATGCCATTTAGGGGTTAATTTTTAATTTTTGATATCATGTTTGCTCTTATGGTACACATCATCTTGTTGGTTGAAAATGCATTGAGAGTTGATTCTAGAATTCTACACTTGCACTTGCGCACACTAGCATTCAATTTATGGGGTACATGCTTAGTTGATTATTGTCTTGGTTTATCCCAATTGAGCTAGTATGCTTTGAAAGCTTTCATTCTTGATAAAATGACCTTGAAAAAAAATAAATAAATAAATAAATAAAAGCACTCACCAAAAGTGAGGAATAAAAAAAAAAAAAAAAAACTGCATTCTTTCAACATGTCAACTGATTAAAAAGGAAGACAAGGGAAGAATGTAAGATGTATGATTAGTTTGAGTTCGTAGCCTAGCCATTCCGAGTCATTACGCCCTTAGGAGTGTCTTTACACTTAACGCCCTAAGACCATCTGGTTTGGGAGTCGTTGGCTCAACGCTTGTTACATGGGGTGATTAGAGAGCTTAATGAACTTGGACATTGCACATGGTCATACATAAAAATAAAAAATCAATAAAAAAATGAAATCAATAAAAAAAAAAAGAAAAAAAAGAATGTTTGATTAAATAACAAGGTTCATTCAATGTCTTGATGTCTGGTACTATATCTGCATGCTAGTTTGAGGGTAAGGCTATGCCATTACTTTGATTTGCTAGGATAGCAACACATTTTGATGCCGGTTCACTTAAAAGGATGATAGAATTGATTCAATTTGCATGATTAATTGATTGATGTGTGGAGGACCGTTTGTGCTTACATGATGTTGAAACGTTGATAATAGCTTAGAAATGGCAGAAATTTGCATACTTGAGGTAGTCTACTTTCAACACTTGTTTAATATGTGTCGTTACTTCTCAAGTAAGAAAGAGCTGTTGATGTTTGTGGGTACCATTTCTGTAAACCCTCACGAGACTTCACTCGTCCACTAGGGGTAACCTAGGGGTTTAAAAGGCTTGTTGCATATGCTAAATGCAACTGTGATCTCTACGAAAATGGTGTTATCTTTATTTGCTTAATTAGTTCATAGTTGTATATATGTTTGTTTCATTTCCATGTTGTAGTTCATTGCTAGGGACTAGCAATATCTAAGTTTGGGGTGTGATAAGTGCTTAAATGTTGCACATTTCAGCACCTAAGCTAGGGTATTTCAGTCTTTGCATCTATCTTAAGTTTATGTTTTAGTCCTAATTTATGTTTATGTGTATTTCAGGGCAATAAAGTTAAAATGAGCTAAGAACGGTCCAATTAAGCCTTTTTGGAGTTAAGCAAATATTTTCAGAAAATGGCACAAAACGGTCAATCTCGGGCCTTTGATGATGTTCCCAAAGATGGAGAAGCAAACCAAATAGTCCGGGGCAAAAATGGAGTTGAATAAGGCTTAAAGGAATTTTCTAACTGTGAGGGATCGATCCCCCAGGGTGGGAGATCAATCCCCCAGGACTTGGCAACATTGCATATTTTTATTTTAATGTTTGGGCTTATTTTGTAACCTAGTGGGCTTTATTAGGTTTATTACTTAAGCCCAGTAAGGCCCATTGTTTTTAGGGTTAGTATTTATTAGTTTAGTGATTTATTATTTGAAGAATTAAGTTTTGATTTTTTTTTAATCTGTATCGTGATATTGTTCTCTCTGAAAGAAAACGAAAGAAAGAAAAAAAGCGAGGGTTTCAAGAATATTTTTTACAGAGGCTTTGTCTACAGTTGAAGGAAGAAGAAGAAGGGCCAAAAGATGGAGATAGGACTTGTTGACACCTTGATCATCTCCTCCATGAGCTAGTTCTTCACTTAGGGCTTGGATGAGCCCTAAGTTCATGTAACCCTAACCTTTGTATTTCTTTTCTTGGGGAATTATTATGTTGTAATTAAATTGTATGGCCTTGCGATTTCTTAATATATACATGCTTGATTTGATAAATTAAGGTTTGTATTGATAAATTCTTCCATTGAAATCTCCAATTGATTGTATGTCTATGTATGATTAATTAGGGATTTTATTCTTCATTAGATGATTAGAATTTAATTCTTCCATTGATTCTATATGAAAATTGCATGTCTAGGTGTGATTGATTTAGAATTATACTCTACACTAGATACTTCTTTTAGTTGTATTTAGTGATGGCCATAGCATGAGACTTAGTTGATACAATTGTCAATTAATTTGATGGATAAAGGCTTAATCATGATAGATTGTTTTACAAATTAGCTTATTTGTCATTAGTTAATTGTAGTAAAGTAGGCAATCTGTGCTTGATTATTTTAATCCATGCTTCTAATTACAATTAGTATTATCTTCTTGATTGATGTGTGCTCTTATTGGATACATTTGTGAATGTGTATGGTGGGTTATGACGTAGTCTTGAATGGATTTTACACTTTAGTTTATTTGTCATTAGGTAGACAATTCATCCTTGATGTTGATAATCTATGCTTACAATTGTGATTTGTGATGATAATGTGACCACATCTATAATTACACTAATAAATTCCCCATTAATTGAAAGCATATGGTTAATTGCATGGGCTTAGTGGTGAATCCTAACCCTAAGACTCTCTTCCTATCTCTTTAATTCTTAGTTTAATGTCATTTCTATTTTCATGCTTTTAATTGAATTTTAGTTTAATCACTCCACCAAAATATTTTTCTCTCACACTCTTTCTCTCTCTCTCTCTCTTCTCTCTTTTACAATCTAATTAGCATTAAAATCAAGTTTAGTCCCAACACGTGTTCAATCCCTTGGGTTCGATCCCTTTTCACTTCATACTACATAGTATAAGTGTCTAGCGGTTTACAAATGTAAACTATGATGCCCGCTTGATACCATTTCCAAAACCAAAGTGTTGTGCATTATTTTGTGCACACGCTCGGGTCGCATCAGCTCATACCAGGCTCTATAAGCTTTTTTGAGACCATGTAAGGCTTTACTCAAGTTATAAACATAGGAGGGATTGACGAAATCTTCAAAGTTTTCAAGTTATTCTATGTACACTTCTTCAGTGAGATCACCATTTAGAAAGGCAGACTTGACATCCATTTGACACCATAACATATTTGTGATAGGCAAAAGACAGAAGTATTCTAATGGACTCTATTTTAGCCACTGGAGAAAAAAGTTCATCATAGTCATTGCCCACTTACTGAGCATACCCCTTGCACTACTTGCTGAGCATACCCCTTGCACACAAGTCTTGTTTTGTTTCTGATCGCACAGCCCTTCTCATTCATATTGTTTCTAAAAATCCACTTGGAACCAATGACATTCTTGTTTTCTGGTCTAGGTACAATAGTTCAAGTATCATTCTTTTGAATTTGATTAATCTCTTCTTGTATGGCCACAATCCAATCACTCATTTTTTACTTCAGAATATGTTTTAGGCTCAATGGAGGATAGCATGGCAAAGTGACTGTATTCTTCATCTTCTTCTAAGGAAAGATCACTGGGGTTCTTCTTAGCTCTGGTTTAAACACCCTTCTTAAGGTTTCCAATGATGTATTTAGGTTGAACATGCTTTTGTAAAATGAGATAAGTAATTTCTTTGTGAGTCACAAGATCAGAGTGTGAAGAATTTATTTCATTTAACCCTAGTGATGAATAAGCATCTTCAGGGGCAATGGATTGAGGACTTTTATTAAACTTCATATATATGGACTCAACCATCTTAGAGGTTCTGAGATTATAACACCTGTAATCCTTTCTCTTTGTAGAATACCCCAGAAAGATACCTTTATTAGACTTTAAATCAAACTTCCCCAAGCTGTCAATATGATTAAGTATATAACATTTACTTTCAAACACCTTGAAGTAATGGACAACTGTAAGCCTTCCAAACCACAACTCAAATAGATTTTCGGTTGAATTAAGTCTGAGATACACTATGTTAATGATATATACAACTACATTCACAACTTTATCCTAAAAACCCTTTGCTAAGCCCTTCTCAAGAAGCATTGTTCTCCCCATTTCTTATATAGTTACGTTCTTCCTTTGCACAACACCATTTGTTGAGGTGTAACCATAACTGAGAACTCATTTTTTATACGTCTTACATCACATAAACTTTTAAACTCTTTCATTGTGAATTCAGTACCAAAATCTTATTTAAGCTTTTAGACAGTATAGCCCTTCTTATTTTTAATAAGATTAACAAACTTGATGAAGTGTGTGATAGTTTTAGACTTTTGTTTCAGAAAATAAACCCAAGTTATTCTATTGAAATCATTAATTAGGAGCATGAAATACTTACTTCCACTAATACTTGTGGTTATGGTAGGGCCATAGAGGTCTATGTGAATCAAATCAAGTGTCTCTGAGGTGTTCACCTCCTTTAAGGGAAATGAAACCCTAGTTTGCTTTCCTTGTTAACGGGCTTTGCAGGTGTGATCCTCTTTGAACTTCAAATCAAGTAGGCTCTTGACAACTTTAGACTTCAAAATCTTAGAAATATTCCTAAAGTGAACATATCCAAGCCTCTAGTGCCACAAAATACTTTCATCAACAGCTGAGAAATTGCATAGAATATCTTTAGTGATTGTGTACACATTTCCTGAAGACCTAGTGGTTGAGAAGAGTAGCTTTTCTGTACTTTGATCAATGACCTTACAATTGAATTTGTCAAAACAGACTATGCCGCTAGAATCACAAAATTAGCTTACACTTAGAATATTGTGTTTGAGACCTTCAACATGCAACACATCTATAATCTCAGGGAGTTCCTTAGACTTTGAAATGGTGCCTATCCCAATGATCTTAGGCTTCTGGTTATCATTAAACACAACATTGCCTCCATTAAGTTTCTTCAGCGACAAAATTTTGAATTATCACTTGCCATGTGTCTAGAGCAACCACTGTTAACATACCATTTATCATTTGAATTGCAAGCCTTAAAGGTTGTATACCAACATGCCTACAGTTTAGCTTTTTAGAATCCACGTCATTTTTTACTTGATGATAGTGCTTTTGTCTTTCACCTTCAAGGACTTAAGCAAATCAGATTTCTTCGTATAGGCAACATTGTATCTAGTTTTCTTCAAGGCTGAAGTGATGAAATCTCCTTTATCAACCCTCAATGTAGTGTAAGTCTTGTCTAAGAGCTCATATCTAAACTTGGTAAGCTTCACTATAGGAAATATAACATATACTTCACCAGTCACATACTTGACAAAGACTATCTGAATTCGATTTGTCTTTCCTGCAAGGTTTGAATTGTAACCAATGATTATTCTTCCAACTTGTTTGGTGTAGTTCTTCAAAATTTCATACATTTTAAGTGACCTTTCTTCAATAGCAAGATCAATTTCTTCTTTTCATTTTCTAGTGCTCCATACTTCATCTTTATTTCTTAGTTTTGAAATACAATGCATAGGCAAGGATATAGAACATAGGATTAAGAGCTTGACCTTCACATGCTTAATGAGTAAACCCTTGGACACTTGAAGTTCTGTGTTAAGTTTCTTGATTTGAACTTTCTAAGAATCATACTTAATAGTAAGTCTTTCACATTCATCCAGAACCTCTTCAATATCAATATCATCAATCTCTTCTTCTTCATTTTGAACTCACAAACGTCTTGTCGAGCCATAAACAAACACTCATCTTCAGGTACCTGGATCTTCTTTGTCTTCTTTAAGAGTTATATCCTAATCAGTGATCAAGCCTTCTTTCCAAACCTATTTCTATTGTTAAAGGCTTCTCATTTTCTCTAGTTTTGGCCCTTATTTGAAGAACAGTTAGCAATGAAGTGTCCAGACTTTCTACAACCATAACAACTTTGGTTATATGTTTGACCTTTCTTTACGAACCTGAATTTTCTGAACTTCTTGGCAAGATAGGTTACTTCATCATCTTCTAAGTCATCATCATCATATTTGTGTTCACTTTCTTCTATAACTTCTTTGGCCTTAAGAGCTGCTTCTCTTCTTTATTGAGTAAGAACCCTAATTCTCATTTCATTAGCTGTGAGTGAGACTTGTAGGTCATTAATCTTCATATGTTACATATCCTTGTCTTCAAGAATGGTGACATTAGCATTAAACCTAGGAGCTAAGGACCTGAGAATCTTCTTACACATATTAGAGTCTTGCACATCTTCACCAAGAGCTTTTATGTTGCTGACAATTCCCCTAATCCTGAACAAGTACTCTGATACAACTTCCCTTTGCAGCTTTCATATTGAACTTTCAAAAGTTGAATCTTGTTCTCCTTAATCACATTATTTTCTTCATGAGCAGCTTTAAGAAAGTCCCACAGAAGGATCATTAGGGTTAAGAACCACCATATCAATAATGATGGCATACCATACATCATAAGATTATGATATTAGAAAAGCTTCCATTCTTGTCAGTCATGAATCATAGTTTGATCTATCAAACCCTAGGGCTTTGTTGGTAACTTGACCTTCATCCCTTTCTTCAAGATCTTTTCTGCAGAGTGGTTAAAACCCTTGACTAGCAGACAAAAGCTCTGATACCAATTAATGAACCAAGAGGGGGTGAATTAGTTCTTTACAAAACTTCTTTCAACACTTAGTCAATTTTAAGGTGTCACAAGTGTATTGAAAAGCTGTTTGATCAAGTGTATACAAGCCACAACCACACAACAGTGACACAAGATGTTTGTAAGGAAAACCCCTCTCAATAGGGATCAAAAACCTTGGTTTCTGGTCTCTGCCAGTGCAAATCCACTAGTTGTAATGTAAGAAGAAACACACTCAGTTGTCTCACTCTCTGTACACACCCTAGCTCATATACATGTGCTCACAAGCACTGCCACTATCCTACGCAACCCTACTTGGACCCTATGAGGTCTCATAACTCACCAAATACATTATAAAAGATGTATAACAACAATACTTAGCTATTACAAAAGATAAGAGTGATTGTACAGCTCAAAGTATCAAACATCAGCAACAGAGCTTCAT